TAATATAGGAATGATGGATAAGTAAGACAATTGACTGGCAGGCATATCCTTTTGCTTTTTTTTTTTCAGAATTTAGTTTAAATCTTGGCGTGATACAATAATGACACGTAATCTCTGACAAATTATCCCTGTAGTATAATATGTATTTGTTAACGCATCAATCTATTTTTATAACTGTCAAACTATGTTTAGAAATAAATTTTTTTATCCGATATAAATCGGTTGGAATTATATTATATGTCGAGTTGGTCTCCTTAAGTGGGCAAATGAATTGATTAAAATATTCTTTGTGTAAATTATGTGTCTTTATGTTTAACATCTTCACAGCAACATATAACTTTAAGTGAGTAGTACACCCATTTCAAATTGTTTTTGCAACAGCGTGCAACAAATCATAGAAATTTTATGCCTCCTTATTCAGAGACTTCTGTTATATTGCTAAAATTGTGGCCCTGTTCATCATAATCCAAGTCCTCAAATGTCATAAATCTGTCTTCCTCAACTATGTTGGAACTTTATAGACGGCTACATTGAGAGTCGAAATGAGGCTCGTACTTACCATGTGAAGTTCAATACCAATATTCTAGCATGAATCTGATACGCCCTAGGGTTCCCCAAGTTTGGGTTTTGCCCTAATTGCTCCTCAAAGATATGATTCTCCACCAAATCAAAGAGAAATAAACACAAGAGAGATGGGATGAAGAGCAAGAAATTTGCATTTAAAATCCAAGAGAAAACAAGATACAATTGTCCACTTCGAGAAGGACAAGGTCTCCCACTACAAACCCTAGAAAACTTAGAGAAAGAAAATAAGGTGGGCTAAAGAGAAAACCCAATTTTGCATAACCCTAGAAATCCCCCCTTAATCCCTACTTATAGCAGCAAAAGACCAAACCAAACCCACTAGTGGGTGCCCAAGGTGAACCGCCCACTCAAGGCTGACCAGAGCCAAACCAGTCCAGGATTGGACCGATCCGCTCAAGGCCGATTCCCCCGTTCCGCTCCGATCCCCCCGCGCGTCCCTTCCGCGAATCGGCAGGCGCGGCCCCCCTTTCGGCGCGCTTCCGCGCGCCCTGGGGTCGCCGCCTCCCTCTGCCGGTCGCGCGGCGGCCACGCATCAGAATCCTCTGGATTATAGCATCAACATAATCTCATTTGGTGTGAGGTAGGCTTAAATTTTGTGTTTGGAGCAAGGATAACAAAACGTTCCCTCTAATATAAAGGAAGGTAATTGAGAACCTACCTGAAAGAAAAATTTACTCCTTTAAAAAATTCATCTATTAATGTCGTTTTTTACGTCCAACAACATACAATATTATAATTCCAACTTCTATGATTTCAAATATCTATAACACACTTTAGCTATAAATTCCACAACCAAACAATGAGATTTGGTTATCAATTTAACGTATATGTTAGTGTAATTGTCGTCATAAAAAACTTAGATAACATCCCATATAATCAAGATATACAATAATGATATATGACCAAACTATCTAAGGAGACTCTCTTTAATCTTATCTTCCATTAGAGCTACTCTAACCTTTTAATGTATATGGTTAGTTTCGTACCATGTCTCTAAGAGTAAAGCACTCATATCACCTGAGTATCCTCATTCTCTGCAACACTTAACTTAATATTATGCTTCGCCTTTAATGGCCAACACTCTGCACCATAAAGCATTTGCACATCTCACCACCATCTTATAGAATTTTCCCTTAAATTTGAGTGTGACTTTTCTATCATACAACAAACGATGCATCCTTCACTCAACCATCCAACTTGAATTCTATAATATATCTCCATTTATTGTACCATCACTATGAACATATAAATCCAAGATAATCTAAAACTTGTACTCGTATTAATGACTTCATCGCCCAATCATAATCCCTCCAACTAGACTCTAAGGTTAACCTCTAATTTTCAAGTTTACCTTCAACTCCCTCCTCTAGTCTTATTAACAAAAAGATATATCATCAGCAAAAAGCGTAGATTCGCAAACAAAGCTCGGCGGCAGGAGGCAGTTCGACGGTTTACAAATTTTGGCAAAGAAGCACGCAAAAGGAAGAAATAGGATACTGTAGAGTCCATGACCGGTCAGGGTCCGGGACCGGTTCACGGCGAAAATCGCGACGCGACGGCGGAGAACGAGCGGCCCGACCAGCCCACGTAGAGCCGTTTAGAAGTTTTTTTGAAATTTATGAGGGAAATTGATTGTAGAGACTTTAGGGAATTCTTTTTAATGTATGTATTAAATAGTTGATTGTCCTAGGGTTTGATCATCTTGAATTTGGCTGAAATTTGAGAACTCTTAGATTTAGGTTTTCTTTGCTCTAGCGGCGTCTAGATTTGGGAGAGATCGATCCTTCTTTCGAATTGAGGATCAATTTATCTTTGCTGTTTTATTCATCTACAGTGAAATACAAGAGTTTTTCTTCTTTTTCTCAGAATTCTAGCAAGATCTCCTGTTTTTCCTCTGTTTTTGGCTATTCCTGCTGTGGATCAGCAATAAATCTGTTGCAGTTTACTGATTTGGCTAGAACATGTTGAATACAAGGTTTCTATCAAATTGGTATCAGAGCACGTTTTGGGACCGTTGTGCGCGAATCCTGAAATTTCAGCGGTGTTTCCGTTTCGGAAAAAGATCTTCAGTGAATCTTGAGAAGAAACGATGGCCGGAAAGAAGTTTGACGTCTGAAGGCCGAAGTCGGCCACATTGAAAGCCAGATTTGTGAGGAAAGAGTTCTTCACCTTCAAAATCAAATTCACTCCAACAATGAAAGGTATGAGGGAAATTCACCGCCACATGAGGAAATGCTTGAAGAAACTACTGAGGTGAAAACCAATCGCGACATCGTGAATAAGAGAGACCGCGACGGACATGGCATGGAGGAAATTCCGAACCCTTGCGGGGAAGGAGAAAATTTTGGTAGGGGAGATCCTAGAGGAAGAGAACGAAATGCCACCGCTAGAGCCCCTTTAAGGGAAGAGATAGTATGGGATATGGACAGAAGGGGGGCTGCTTATGCGATGGGAGAGAGAGGGAATCTCATCGCCGAGGTGCTGAATTCGAAAGAATTCAACGCGGAGAGGGATTTTGAAGGAAGAAGGGAGGAACGTCATCGTCAGAGGTGCTGAATTTCGAAGGTAATTCAGCGGCGAGGTGATGATTGTTTGAAGGAGAGGAGAGGTGAGTATGAAGCAGGGGTTCAGTAGTATTACGTCAAGGAGGGCGATCGGACAATTGGGGAACGCCTCCTCTGAGGGGATAATGGAGGCTATGAGAGGATACCGGGAGTCCCAAGGTGAGGAAATTGAAGTGCCCGTTTTCGAGTGAGGAATGACGGCCATGGCTGATCTAAAGGTGGAGCGTACTTGCGGTCAATGGTTGACAGAGGAATGAAAGCTTGACGCAGCAGGATTGATGTCTGGAAGGAAGGCTCTGTCATGGTACTATAATGGCGTGACAGGAGGGAGCCTATCAGGAATGGAGGGAATTCAAAAAATAGCATTAATATAACGTTTCAACAGACCGGGGGAGGAGATTTCTTATGAGCAATTCTTTGCTCTGGTTGCAGGAGGGATCAGTAGCAACACCGTGAGCGTCGAGCACCTGGCTAGTAGAGGTACCTGGAGATTATAGATAGCATATTGGAGGGGAACTTCATGAAGGGTTGCAAGGCAGAGATCCGAGCGCAAATGTAATAAGGTTCGTGATGCCTTAGGATTTGGAGGAGGACAATGAAGTTGGACACAGGCTGGTAGAAAATCAAAAATCTTGGAGAAGGGATCTGTCCAAGGAGCAGCAGCTCAGGCAGGCTCTTTACAAAGACTACGACCACTCTTTTTATCACCAAAGGGCCGTGCCATCAGTCAACAATAATGAGTACACCAGGGAAGCCCAGTAGGAAGAGGGAGTGGGATACTTAACTACTGAGACAGAATTACAGAAGAGAGGGACAAAAAGGGCTTGTTTCAGATGTGACGAGAGGTATACGCCGGGCACAAGTGTAAGGACCGAACTTCAAGTTCCTTACTGTTTGTGATGAAGAAGGAATGCGAGGGTGTCGTCTTTCCACCTTGCAGACAAAGGTGGATCTTTAGGGAGGGGATTCTATTGTAGACCGGTCCAGGACCGGTCCAAGGCGGGACCGGTTCACGGGCGAAAATCGCGAACAGGCGGAGAATTCCGGCTCTGACGCGGAGACTGAGCGCCTGACCAGCCCACGTTAGCACCTTTTAGGAAGTTTTTTTAGAAAGTTTATGAGGGAAATTGAATGTAGGACTCGTTTAGGGATTCCTTTTGAATTGTATGATTAAATAGTTTGATTGTCTAGTTTGATCATCATTGAATTTGGCTGAAATTTGAGAATCTCCTAGATTTAGGTTTTCTTTGGCTCTAGCGGCGTCTAGAATTTGGGGAGAGATCACCTCCTCTCGAATTGAGGATCAATTGTATCTTTTGTTTATTCATCTACTAAGTGAAATGACAAGAGTTTTTCTTCTTCTTTTTTCTCAAATTCTAGCAAAGATCTCCTGTTTCCTCTTGTTTTTGGGCTATTTCCTGCTGCTGGACAGCAATAAATCTGCCTGCCAGTTTACTGAGTTTGGCTAGTGAACACTTGTGAATAACAAGTGTTTCCTATTCAGATAACCTTCGCAAACGAACCAAGTTCGTCGGATGTGAATGAGGGTGAATTGGACGTAAACACGGTGGCTATAGCGACAGGAAGAACATCGTCGAAGGAAGTGATTCGGCAGGAAGGAATTGTTGCGAGAGGCAAAGAAGTTATTTAGCGACTCTAGCGACAATGCGCGGAGGCGAAGTTGTAGGAGAGTTAAAGGAGAAGAGCAGTCAAAGAATAGAACGAACACATGAAGCGAGATGCACAATCAATCGGTAGAAGGGTAGTTTGCGACAGATTTTTAG